AAGTGTCTCGGACCTTGTGGAGCTGTTTTGACCATGATTAGATTCGAATATGAAGAATCTTAAAAGATAAAAGTTATAGATATCTTCGTTAGGTTTTCAATAAATCTTGGATCAGGTCATTTGGAGATCATATGAGAAAGATAAAGCCAACATACTAAAGATAGTACAAACTCCGAGACAGTGTTGGTGTCTCGGAGAAGAATAACAATTTTGGATATGATCCGATTCGAATCTGAAGAAACTCAAAACATAAAAGTTGTAGATCCCTTTGTCAGATTTCCAATTCATCTTGAATCAGGTCATTTGGAGATCATATGAGAAAGTTAAGATTAAAATACCCGAGATACTCATTGGTGTCTCGGCCAGGCCGAGACACTCAAAGGTGTCTCGGCCAAACCGAGACACTCACTGGTGTCTCGGCTAGGCCGAGACACCCAAGGGTGTCTCGGCCAGGCCGAGACACCCACGAGTGTCTCGGCCAAGCCAAGACACCCACGGGTGTCCGTAACCCGCAGAATGCTGTTTTTGGCTATTTTGAGCCGTTTTCGACGTTCACTGCCTAGATTCCCCGGAGCCTATAAATACAATACCAGGGCCCTCATTTTTTGAGATCTGGAATTTTTAGAGTTGGCGAAACCCTGCCGGACTGAAGATTAAAGGTACACGAACTTCAGAGAGGAGGAGATTGATCGAGTTCATCGGCATAAAGAAGAGGAGCTCGTCAGATCTGCAGTTCCCCGGGTTCGTTCCTTAAGATTATCCCGTTGCGATAATCTTAAAAAGAGCAATTATCTTGCCGTTGCCGAGATAAGCGCTACGGTTTCTTGATTCCTTCGCGAATCAACGAAGCTCTGCTTGATTTTTCAGCAATCAGATCTGATCGATGGTGGTCCACGGATATCAACATCCCCGTTACAGGCCAAGATCCCACGCAAGCAGAAGACCGATAAACGATCTCTGCGCTGTTTGAAGAGAATTGTACTTTTGTTTTGTTTTCATTGTGTAAAGGTCTTATAAAAAGACTAATTTTTGTTTTCGTTGTAAACGTCTGAAGTTTGTAATGAATCCCGTAATAAAACAATCAATTTTCTCCGTAAACAATAGGCTACACATAAATCCGGTGTACCATGAAACTATGATGTTCTCAATGTCTGAAGTCTTTCTTATTCTTACAGAGCCAAGCCTCCTACTTTGCGGCTCTATCAACAGCTGGTTGTGGTGATGGTGAAATCTTTAGTATTGCCTCTTTCAATAGGCACGACTGGTACAACTGGTGGTGAAACTCCAGAAAATATAATATGGCTCGTTATTCGCTCCTTGAGTGTTGCTAGTCTCTGCTTTTACGATCGGCGTTACAAAGTCGATCAGATACTGTGGAGCCTGCTACGGCTCGGGTTCTGCTTGCCCAGCTCTTCGGGTACGAGTTTTATCTCGACCGTATCCTCATCTCGATATTTATAATATCAAGAGGAGAGCTTAATGGATACAGTAAATAAAGTCACAAACATATATACATAACATAATGTATCATATAGTATTCATACAAATACTTTTCAATCAAAGTAAGATAGTTATAAAAAAATTGTAATTTTCGAGGTATACGTATTACGTCCTCACTCATTCTAGGAATTCCTAGTGGGCTCTATACATGAATCCTAGGAAACTCTATCCTAGGTCCACGACTCGACACAGAATGATCCTAAGGATATCGGAACTAGAGCTCTGATACCAACTGTGACGCCCCTAGGTTCACACAAGGATGCAGTCCAAGATGAATCTAAGGATATTAAACTTGTCATGCACCCATACTGTGCAACGATATGTTTCACCATGACAGAAATATCTTTCTAGTGGAATCAAATAAAACAGTACAGGTACAAGCAAATATAAAAGAGATGAACATAGGAAATCAAACATGGAAGTAAATGATAAGTCTCATAAATGATCAAGTCTCAACTGAGTAAAGTTGTTCGACAATCTGATATAAAAAGATAAACGTCTCAATACACTGAGTCAAATGAAAATACATAGGCTCTCAACTCTCAAAATGAAATGCAAATCTAATACGTCTCAATACACTGAGTCAAATGAAAATACATAGGCTCTCAACTCTCAAAATGAAATGCAAATCTAATAATCCACTAAATACAAGACAAATACATAGGCTCTCAACTCTCAAAATGAAATGCAAATCTAATAATCCACTAAATACAAGACTAAACATTGGTGGAGCAAAAGTAACTAATAAATAAAATGACAACGACTATACTGAAAGTCCGTCAACCCGTGGTTCTCCGAAACTCTGCTCCGTTGCATGAAAAGAAGTTTAAAACAAAAAGAATAATAACAAGAGCGTCAGAGCGCTATAGCAAGATCATCTCCATCTGCCCCCAGGGGAAGGACTACTAAGTATGATGGAGGCTCTACCTATTGAAAGTACCCTAATGCCACTAGGAAAGAACCTTAGAGGAGAGTGAATAGGGTTTATGCTAATCTAATCTAATTTAAATGCTAATTAAAAGTAATTAACAAATAACCTAGCAAATATGATATGCAATAAGATATATATGCAATGATATACTAATATCACAAGGGTAAACAAAATATAAATAATATAGTGGATGAAATAAACAATAAGAGAATGACAATAAAGATGAACAAAAATATAAGTGCGCCAAGCCAAACTCAAACACAAGATATGATCACGGAGTTTGGTCTCCACGACCTACGTCTTCTCTCCTCATCTCGAGGAGATCTCCATTATCACAACCGGGTTTTCTACGCTCACCCAAATAACATTTACACATCACACTTGGTTTCTAGTTTATCGAAAACTTTACAATCTCTCATAATGTAAACACACTAACTACCTCCTTAAGTATTGGTCTTTAGCCTGTGTCTTCCTCAAGTGTTAGGAATTAAAACCTACCTCTAGGCATTACCACCCACCTCACTCCTCTTGGGACGACCCCGTCTCTCACTACACACTTCTCTCCGTGTATTAGTGTATTACAAAGTGCAACTCACAATTAGGCTCACAAATCAAATGATCGTTCTCTAAACAAGGTGAGAACACAATATAAGCTCACTCTCAATGTCACAAACCCACAACCCCAAATTATACTATGAATGTAAATACAATAAGCTCAATGGTTGTGTGTGAACAAAGAGATTTAAATCAAAACTAAACTCAAATAAACTCTAGCTTATGGAAATGAAAATCAAACATATAAATAGCTAGATATGAGTTCAAAAAAACTTCTCTATAGATAACAAGAGAGAGAGAGGGAGATGAGTTGAATGTACAAACACAATTGATGATCTCCTCAAGCCCTTGTAAAAATTTATTCACAAAACCAAACTTGTAAACACTCTTTTAAACAAACACAAAATACCCTTTAAACTTGTTTAAATAATTCTCTTAACTAAATAAAACTGAGGATATGTAGGGTATTTATAGGAACCCCAAAGCCAAGAGAAAACAAGGAAAAAAGACCAAAAAACCCAAAATTAGAACAGGCTGGAAAAAACTAGTCGTTATAGCATCAGTCAACTGACGGCTTTTATCAGTCGACTGATGAGCTGACCGTTAGAGGTATTTTCTAACTCATTAATTGACTGACGACCTTATCAATCGACTGATGACCTCATCATTCGACTGATCAGTCGACTAAAACAAAACAGAAACTTTTTATTATTTCAGGCAATTCTTCAGTCAATACATCAGTTGACTGATAACAGGTTATTAGCCTGAATCAAATAGTAAAACTGATTTTTGAAATACCTTTAAAAATAGCAGATAAATTCTTAAAAATGTAAAACTTTGGGAAATTATTGTAACATGTAAATAAACATGTTTCAAAAAAGAATTTTTAGAATTGCACTTCTCAATAGTAAAAACTCATCATTTTTCAAATATGTCTAAAACATGAAAACTAAACATACATGTTTTTGTCATTTGACATAAACATAATATTAAAACTTTTGTAAAATGATTTTATAGACTTAATGAAGTCCATAAACAAATAATTCAATATTTTCACAAATTCATTTTTGTATAAACTTGAAAACTATAAAACCAAAACATGTATGTGTGTGTGTGTGTGTATTATATATATATATATATATATATATATATATATAAACCAAAACATGTATGTGTGTGTATGATTGAGCTTAAAGTACTAACATACATAATATAAAAACCTAAACTAAATATACCCAAGCTTGATCTTGATTTTCAATAAGCTCTTCTTGGTATACTTGCGGATGAAGCTTGAACTTGAATGTTCAACTTGAATTGTATTGCTTCATTCCACTATTCCGCCAACCTCCATTGGATATGATTATAAAAGCTCGATTCCATCCATCCTCCAACATATTGTTTGTCTACAATAAATACAAAAAACACAAACACTAGACAAATAATATTAGTTGTAAATTGTTTGTTAATCATCATCAAAACAAAAAGGCCAACACCTATAAGTGCATAGTTTACCTAGATTATTTTCCCAGTATCTAATGGAATCAATATTTAGACACCTACAAAACGAGACATAGTACGTCGAGCGAAATAATCCAAATAAGAAAACCCTCATGTATATACCATATATCTTAAACTGTAGATACCTAAACATTAACACTGAACTAGAGATAAACAATCTAAAAAAATCAATAATTAGAAACCTACAACACGAGACCGGTACGTCGAGCGAAATAATTCAAACAAGGAAACCCTCGTGTATATACCATATGTCTCAAATTGTGAATCGCTAAATATTAACTCCAAAACTAAGAATAAATAAATACAATAAGGATAATACATGAAATACCATATCATACATAACCAAAAATGTCATATCAACTCCTCATACTACCCTTAGTGGGTAAAACAGATATTAACACACTCGTGTATCTAAGTTGTGAAATACTTTCACAATAGATCATATCGATGATGTTAATATTCACCGTCACGGTCGACCGCCTTCAGCTCCAGAGCCTCATGCTCTCCTGTGCATGTTTGCCTGACTCGCGATTGACCACCAGTCTGTCTGGCTAATTTCTGCTGATTTCCTGAACTTCTCTCGCCACTTCTTCACTCCTTGCTTCATAATGGGTACATACAGGCCAACAAAGACTTTGAAAGCATCATAAATTCCCCATTGCGCTCCCATCAAAGTACCAATCATGACAATTCGGAGAGGCAGCCCACGGGTGAACAAGCCCAACATTCCAAGCTTCTTCACAGCCTGATTATGATTAATCATAGAATGAGTAGATAAAGAAATATACAAGGCAACCACCATATATTAAAACAAGGATATAATCAAGACGCAAGACTGTGCTCCATAATACTTATATCACCAACAGTTGCACCCTCAGCATTGTTCAGGAAAGACACAAGATTGTCAGTCGGGTGAGAGACAACAGCACAGAACACTCCAGCAACATAACCACATGCAAAATTGAAAAACATACACAGAACCTCAACTCCTTGCTTAAACTGTCAAGATACATTTTTCCACGAAGACGATGATGAGGTTCGAGTCGGCGGCGAAGTGCCGACCGCGGAAGGCGGAACTACGGAGTGCGACAGACAGAGAGTGAGAGAGAGGAACTAAGGGAGAGGAAGTGCGGTTGGATCTGAGGAAGAGGAAGAGGAAGTGCGGTGCAGCTGGATCTGAGGAAGAGGAAGTGCAGCTGGATCTGAGGAAGAGGAAGTGCGTCTAGGGTTTAGGTTGAGATTTGAGGGAACGGGTCGGGTTTCTAATGAGTACCGGGTACGGGTTAAAAATTAAAAGGTTATTAGTTACGGTCGGTTCGGGTTGAAATGTTTTCAACCCAACCCGAACCAACCTACACATAAAACCGACCCGAACTGCTAATTTCAGGTCGGTTCGATCGGTCGGTTTTATCGGTTTGGACCGAACCATGCACAACCCTATAGATGAATGGTAGCAAGCTAATTATTTGTAGAAATTATTTTTTCAACTTTGAAGAGCTCTAGAGTGTTCTTATACATCGGAAGCAGGAGGAACTTGTTGGATATTTTTAAAGAAAAGGCAATTTTGCCTTAATGAATTCTAATAAATTTTTGTAATTAAAATATGCAATTAAAATATGTTTTAATGTGTTTTAATTTGTAATTAAAATGGGCATAATGACTATACATTATGACGAACGTTACGAAATTTATTGAGGGATTTTGTAACGGCTCTTTTCAACCCCTATATAAACAACATATGTTGAGCTCAAGAAACATATAGAAAAATGTGGAAAACTTATCTTGTTTTTTTTTCTCCTCTACATATCATTTTCATCTATACTTTAGTTTTACTTTATGGGCAACTTCTTCATCTGAGCTGAAGCTCTGCACTCTCGCCCGAGTGCAGAGGCCGGGCCGTTTCCGGGGGTTTTTCCCGCTAGGGGAGAAGGGATCATCTGCGCCAGGGCGATAGGCGGGTCCTCAATCTTCTAGGGCAGTGTTTACACGACTACTCCCGTCAGGCCTGATTTTCTTATCTCTCATTTATTTTGATTTCGGATTTATTTCATGTTATAATCTTTATTTATTTGATAAATTCCCAACACTCTAGAAGATTGAATATTTTAATAAGTTAATTTATAAATCCGAAATAAAAATAATTTATAATTTTCTGTTCATTCAGAAAATTAATCCAGAAAATGAATTAAAAAAAAAGGGTGTATGTATTTTCACTGAAAATATATGCTTGGAAGTATGCACCCCTAAGTTACATGTTTCCACATTGTTCATGTAGTTAACATCTGCTGTCAGTTTCATACAATAATTTTTTCTTTTCAGATATATCACAGGTGTACTAAAAAATGTGCCATAAAATCACATCAAAGCAAATAAAGTTCGTGATGGTTACTGTTCATCCGAATTAAAAAAAAAACAAAAAGAAATTTGCTACTAAATTGCTTATCTATTAATTAACTTTTTGTTAAAAAAATAAATAAATAGTTTTTGTTACTGTTTAAAAAAAAACAGAGGAAATTTTATAGTTGTTGTTAACACAAAGAAAATATAATTGCTTTAATTATATATTTGTTTATCTATTAGTATTATTGATTTGATGTTATAAAATTGGAAAAAAAATGTAACTGTTACTGTTCATTCCAAAAATAAAAACTTTTAATGTTCATTTATTAAAAACGGTACTGTTCATTTTATTAAAAAATGTTGCTGTTCATTTAAACAATTTTGGTTCATAATGCTGAAAAAACTTGTAAAGTTAGAGCAAGTATCAGATTGCAAGTTACGAATATCAAAGAACCTTTATTGGTTTCTAAAAGCCTAGTTTATATTTGTTAGAATCATCTAAAACCTACTCTTATCCCCTTGTGCTAGTTAATATGCATGCATTTAAAACATGCTATAAATTTGTAGCAATGCACATTTTTATTCTTGAAAATTTCATAGCATGGTTTTGACAAGAATAAAGAGAACAAACTCTGGATGCATAAATGCTTTGAAATATCTGGATTTTTTCAGGGTTTAATGCTTTTATTTCTTTAACCTATCAATATGGTACCTTCTATTATTAATAATTCCATACTTTAGTGTATTTATGCATCTAATAAGCTTAGTACAGAAGGTGGTAAAAGTGAATGCAGATTTGTTCAGCAACTTAAGTGGCAGTTGTCTGCAGCAGATGAGTTTTTACTCTCAAGACATGAAAATCATGAGGTTCGAACATCAATAGGTAAACCCCTCCTCGGCCTTATCCAACATATGTTTGCAGTATAGTTGCTAGGCAAATTAAATGCTTGCAGAAAATAATTTAAAGTTTCTATATACTGTTAAGGAACAAAAACTCATTGAGTGAACCGATTCAAGTTTTCTTGGATTAGTTGGTGTCTAAGGCAAGGTTTAAGGGTTGCGTAACGAACGAGGTACTTAATTGATCTTTGATCAACCTCTATTACTATCCTTACCTGGCTAACTACCCGGGTAAAACTTTAATCTTTTCACTTTAGAAGTTTTTGGTTTGGAATAAGAGGACCGGAATTATGAGAAAAATTCATATGTATTTATTTAATTATGCTTCTTGCATCATATATTGTCTAATGATAAATGATCAATATATGAGCGAACCAAATCAAAGAGGTGCATCTTTTAAAATTCTATTTTATATGGTGGATTATATTTTAAATCTTCAAATGTAAAGTTTATCACTTTTATTGCATTTTGATGAATATTGCAATAAATGTTCATATGTCTTTTTAGATAACTTGCATTTGTTACATGATTAAAAGAATGCACTTGTAAAATTTAAAGCACGTATGTACAAATATTATTATTATTATTATTTGTATAAGAGGTGGTACTAGAAAATGGCAACATAAATTTGGAAGGTCTCCTTTGTAGACAACCAATTTAAATTTGGAAGGTCTCATTTGTAGGCAACCAATTTAAATTTGGAAGGTCTCATTTGTAGGCAACCAATTTGTAACCTCTTATAATAGAAGAATTTTAAAAATTTTATGCATTTGAATTATGAAGTATGAAATATATTTTAAGCTACAAAAATATTTTTTTAAGATACGAAATCCTATTATGCTCTGCATGTATCTATTATTAATTTCATTCATGTATGTGCATATGCATAACTGCAGAATTTTTAGTTCCACATTAGTTTGAAATGTTCAGATATTAAGGTCAATCTCTTCAGACATAGACTATGATCTTTTATGATCATAGATCATGACCTAATGTCAATTTCAAACAATATGATGGACTAATTACAAAATAAGAACTTGATAAATAAATACAACGCCTGCTAGGCAAAGTTATGATTCTAGACTTTGTAAAGTCTGTGAAAAGAATCTTGATGACCCTTTGACTAAGGGATTATCCAGGAGTGTGGTTCTGGATTCATCGAGGGAGATGGGGTTAAGCCCATAGATGAGGTCACTGACAGCGGCAACCCAACCCTTATTTGGAGACGTAGTCCCAATGTCGGTTCAATGTGGTAGAAACAAGCTGGACTAGTGACACTCGTGTGGAGCATCGACCTAGATATATTTATATATCATTATGTAGCATTTGCTACTACCCCTTCTCTATGATGACGATGCTCTTATGATACAGCTGGCTAGGCTGAGTTTTACTCTTAATAAGTCCAACGCGTGTATTGTGGGGGGTATTAAATAAACAGCTGTAGTACCCTTTGAGGACTTACCTACGTGAGAGGAACCGTGATGGCCGCGGTTAGGGGGGGCTGGGCTAACCCCTAGAAACTCTCATGAGTCGGTTTATTGTGAGCATGGCCTTTAACGCTCAACCCGCTTTGCTCAATAGATGAAGCGTATTGTGTGTGTTTTTATCAATACCTGATTAAAGGGGCCTAATTCAAGGCCTAGTCCATTATGTCCCTCAGGTGGCGATGAACTCACTAAGGAAAGGTTCAAAGCCGAAAGCTACCTTTCCCGAATTCACGATACGATAGGTTGCCCAACCTATTTTCATTTTGTGATTTATTAATTTATTTATTGATTTTTAAGTTTTCAGTCAATATTGCCTTTTGGGGGGGACTGTTGGATATTTTTAAAGAAAAGGCAATTTTGCCTTAATGAATTCTAATAAATTTTTGTAATTAAAATATGCAATTAAAATATGTTTTAATGTGTTTTAATTTGTAATTAAAATGGGCATAATGACTATACATTATGACGAACGTTACGAAATTTATTGAGGGATTTTGTAACGGCTCTTTTCAACCCCTATATAAACAACATATGTTGAGCTCAAGAAACATATAGAAAAATGTGGAAAACTTATCTTGTTTTTTTTTCTCCTCTACATATCATTTTCATCTATACTTTAGTTTTACTTTATGGGCAACTTCTTCATCTGAGCTGAAGCTCTGCACTCTCGCCCGAGTGCAGAGGCCGGGCCGTTTCCGGGGGTTTTTACCGCTAGGGGAGAAGGGATCATCTGCGCCAGGGCGATAGGCGGGTCCTCAATCTTCTAGGGCAGTGTTTACACGACTACTCCCGTCAGGCCTGATTTTCTTATCTCTCATTTATTTTAATTTCGGATTTATTTCATGTTATAATCTTTATTTATTTGATAAATTCCCAACAGAACTATCATGAAGATTTGCTGAAGTCAAAATTAGCGTTATGTCTAGTATGGGTTTGATATTCAATCCATGGATTATACTATTTATATAATTTTATGAGCAATGCTAGCACTGATAGCAAAAAATTATTTGAAAAAAAAAATTTGGGGTTAAGAATGTGACCTACATGACAAGTGATTCAAAGCTAAGTAGTAGCCTAGGTTAAAATTTTCATTATTAGTGAATAGTGGGTTAAGTATGTGACTCAGGCCTAGCTAGTATCCAGACTAAGGTCAGAAACTTTCAAACATTATACCGACTACTGTACAACTGCTTGAAGAAATTGTATATAATCATATATATGCTTTGCTAATTATATGTTGCAGAAAAAATATATTTTTAAGATTTTCCACAGAAAATGTTTGGTAATGAAAAGGAATAAACTCTAACTAATTTCATTTGATGGATCTTCCATGTGCCGAAGATAAATCTCATGATTATTGTTACCTGAAAATTATTAAAAAATTATTAAGTTTAACAAGTCCTTAAAAATTGGCCTCATGTGATAAAAAAGGCAGGACCTGGATATAAATACAGCTCGACCAATAAAGCCGACCTTCCTAACAAATCAAGTCTGAGGCAAAATGTGTCATCAAGTCGGGATCTATTAGAGAAGTCTGAGTCCAAGATGAATGACGTCTTTTAGTCGGACTCCACTAGGGTACATCCCAAGCAGGGACTGACCTCTCAGTCTTATAAACATTGTTCGCATTAAATGCATGGCCAGTCAACGTCTATGCTCTGTCGATCAGTCACCATCAATCATATTAAATGCATGGCTAGGTGTCATAATGACTCCTTGGACGTCGCTCGCACTTCTGCCATATTGTTGCTATCACATTAAATGCAAGGAGAGCGACCCTTTACACCCACCCAACCAGTTGCCAACACATGTAAAGTAGAGGCGGAACGCCTGCTCCGCCGATTGGGTCGGATTGCCAATGTGCCCCCCACAAATCCTGCACAAATAGCGGTCATGCCCACAATATTAAGGTACGCCTGATAAAAACCCTATACTAGATTTTGCATTCTCTCTTCAGATTTCTTTATCTATCACTGACTTGAACGTCGAAGGGTACGCCGGGAGAAATTTCCTCCATGTCTCTAATTTCTGTTACTTGTGTAGGGATATGCTTCTCATAGTTTATCAGTCATCATAGAAGATTAAGGGATGCTATAATTCCTCAAAATATCCTCCCACCCACAAATTAACTTTTTGACATAAACAATTAGGGTTGGCAAATACAATTCAATCTAGTTTACATTTCCATTTCTTGAAATAGCATTATTGAAATGGTGGTTTGATTCCAATCTCAAAATTTTATATCAGATTCATATGTTTGATCCTCTAACCTCGATTCATTTTACTAAAGAGCCCCCTATGGTTAAATGAAAGTCTATAGACTATAGGCACATTTGTCCCCCCACCACCCCAATATTGGGCTTTAAGAAGCAACCCATAAATAAGCCCAGCCCATTACGTAGGAAAACCGAGTAAAGGTCAGTTTTTACATCGCCTGGAAGTTACCAGCAACTACCGCGCGCCCACGTTTTAACCCTCCCTCCCCCTCTCCTTGCCACGTAACCCTCCACGCGTCCGTCTCGAAAGCCCCATATACATTCTCTCTACTCCTCTCTTTAATTTGTCCCTCGTTGTCTCCAACAAAGAACCAAAGAGAATTCAAGCCATCGATGGCACCCAAGCGCTCAACAAAGAAGAAGCTAGTCGGAACCGTCGTCAAAACCACCAAGAAATTCGTCGAGGAGACCGTCAAAGTCTCCGTCGAAGACAACGGCGTCCTTGATGGCCTAGGCGAAACACAAACCCAACAAGACTCCCAGCCCATTCAAGCGTCCAGCATCGTCGAAATTGTCGCCAGGGACGAAGAAGCCCGGGAAGAACCCAAGCCCGAAGAACCCAAGAAAGTAAAATCAAAGAACAGCAAAGCCCAAGAAGAGCAAAGAGAGCCCACTGACGAGAAGGCGAAACCAAAGGGCAGACAGGCCCAAGAAGCCCGAGTCACGGCCCAGGGCAAGACCCAGAAGGGGAGGAGGAGGAGGAGGAGGAATTTTGCCGGGGGAGAGTATACGGAAGTCCAGGGGAACTACAAGAGGTACGTTTTTAAAGTCTTGAAGCAGGTGCACCCGGAGCTAGGGATGTCGTCGAGGGCGATGACGGTGATCGATGCGATGATGAACGACATGTTCGAGAGGATCGCGGAG